TGTCCCCACTCAGCGGAGGAGCCCCACAGGCAGCAGCGAGCTCTGGCTGGTGCTGAGGCTGGTGCTGGCACTGGCGATGGGGGCTGCCCCGCTGCCCCCCAGCTCCGCTCCTCCGCACCGCTCTGAGACAGGGAGATAGGGAGAAACAGGACAGAGAGTTCAGTCAAAGCTCATGTCCTGGTTTTAGTTGGGATAGTGTTAATTTCCTTCCCAGCGCCGTGTTTTGGATTCAGGATGAGAGCAATGCTGATAACACACGATGTTCTGAGCAGAGTTTACCCTAAGTCAAGGACTTTTCAGCTTCTCACTGCCCTGCAGCGAGGGGGCTGCTGGGGGCCCAGGGAGCTGGCAGGGACACGGCCGGGACAGCCGACCCCAGGGGGATGTTCCAGCCCATCTGGCCTCACACTGACCACAAGAACTGGGGACTGGGCTGGGTGAGGGAGCAGGGGCTGTGCACGGCAGCTCTGGGGCCTGACAAAGGCCACATTCCCTGGTTCACCTTCCAGACTCCCTGCTCAGCAGCAGCCTGCAGGATCCCAGCCCCGGGAGAGCACCAGGGGCAGCCCAGAGCCTCACCTGCCTCCTCCCGGCTGGGGAAATGCTGGAATCCTTGTAAGTCTGCGGACAGCAGGACTTGGAGAACAGGGTCCTGAGGGCAGAGAAACCTGGGCTGGGGCAGCCTGCTGCTGGCCACTTCCCTTATACCAGGGCTGCGAGCCCCCCAGCCAGCCCAGGGCAGGGGGTGCAGCCCTTCCCCACTGCCCCTCGTCCCACAGCTGGGCTCGGGAGCTGTCCTCTTTGAGATGAAGGCGCTGCCAGAAGAGAGGCAACAGCATCCTCAGGGTAGGTGCAAGGGGCCAGCACAGACCCTGCCTCAGGGAGCAGGGCTGATGCCTGGTGCAGGGAGAGGCAGAAGGACCCAGCATGGGGCCAGCCGAGGCTGTGTCCCATGTACCTGCAGGCTGCAGAAGGCCAGCGAGAGGCCGTGCTTGTGCAGCTCCTGCAGCAGCTCTGCCAGCCCCGCCACCACCGTGTAATCGATGCTGCTGATGTGGCAACAGTCCAGGATGATGGAGCGCGGTGGAGATGCTGCTGGACAAAGAGCACATGGTCATGCTCCTGATGACAAGTCCAGACACGACCAGCCCAGGGGACACAGCCCTTAAGAGCCCGAGCTGTGCCTGGAAGGGGTGAGACAGCAGCAGCAGCCAGAAGTGATCCAGGTGGGTACCAGGTTACAGCCAGGTCCCTGGGAGAAGCCAGTGGGCCAGGGAGCACTGTACCTGTGAGAGCATGGCTGCACACAGCATCCCGGAGGCACTCAACAGCAGGGAAGTGCAGGCTGCTCCATGGCTGCACAAGAAGCATGTCCCCATCCGACACCTTCAACACCTGAGGAAGATCCCGGTGCAGGGGGACGAGTTACAGGGAGCTCGGGGCTGTGCCACTGTGACAAAGCAGAGCACTGTCCTCCCTGCATCGAAGGGGAGGTTTGAATCCCACCTTTATTGGGGGCCTGGCAATGGAGTATAGCAGGAGAATCCCTGAGACCAGCATCCCAGCCATGATGCCGTACTGGATCTCCCAGAAGCAGAGCAGGAACGTCACGCAGAGGGGCACAAGGTCCAGCCCTGCAAGAGAGACAACCTGCACCTTGTCCTCATGCCACCGGGCACAGGCAGAGCCGGGCTGCACCGGGG